GTAGGGAAATGCAGGGGCCAAGCTCTGGGAGCCTAGAAAGTCCACGCTTGTCAGAGCGAGGGGGAGGGAGAGACCCCAGCCCGGAAGAGGACGGGGCAATCCCAGATCACGCAGGGTCTCCCCGACCACAACTGCCACCAGGGTGAACCGAGTGCTGGTAAAGCACAGTATCCGGCGACGATGTGAGAGTCCCTCCTGGAAAAGCTCCTGAGACACAGCTGAATGGAGAGGCGAGTCAGGCTTAAAATAGCTAAATAAATCTTTAATATTTCTAATTGCAAATGTACAGAAATTGCACAGCCACACAGTCTTAGAACACCAACAACTTTCTCTGTACATTATTACATAGTTAGAGTCACAACTGGAGGGAGGCGCTCCAGCCAAGACTCCAACATTTGCATTTTTTCCTTTTCACATACTTACAAAAGGGGGGGCAGGGAGGTGGAATGCTTCCACCTAATTCAGGAGTGTGAACACACTCTCTGCATTGAGGAAACTCTCATGCAGTTCTCAGAAGCACCTTTAAAGTTGAGCTGCTGGCCCAAATGTGGCCCAGGCAAAAGAAAGACGGGAAGGGTTGGCAGGGTTCATCAAACAGTATCCCAGGCTTCACTCAATATTTAGGGAATATAATGGGTGAATGCACAAAAGGAGAGAGCAACCTGATTCTGCCTCTCAGTTATCCACATTGGTGGTGGTGGTGGTGGTGGTGGGGGGGGGGTGGTGGTGCCTGGAGCTCTGGCCCTGGTTCCCCACCCCCATTCTGGGCGGTCGGAAAGAGTCTCCACTTATAGCAAGTTTGGCAGTTTCCTTCACCCTAAACATAAAAGTTAAGCAAAATGTCAGGCCTCCCTGTGTTGGCAGGAGAGGGGAGGGGAGAGCCTTCTCCAGCAGGGCTGGGCCTGGGTCTCCCCGAGCAGGGAATGCCTTCCCTCCTCCTCTCTCAGGGATGCGGGTTTGACCCAGGCAGGTCGCACGGCCCCACCACCCAGAGAGCACGCTGCACAGCCGACAGATAAGATGCCACGGGCAGGGAAAAACCCCATCACCCAAATCCACAACCTCTGCCTCCTGCCCAGCACTGTTCTCTAGATTAAAAATAAAATAAAAACCGTCGGAGAGCAGCGGTCCCGGGCAGCCCTCGGCAGCACCAGGACTAAAGGACTATGTACAACCATTAGGTGAAATAGTTACATTACAGTCAAACAAACACCAAGAACATTTACAAAAATCATCAGACTTGGCAATTCAGATAAAAATCTGGGAAGAGTCTGTACACTTTTACAGTTTTTGCACTAAGTAAATAAGGCTCTCGGCCTGAGAGCTCCCAACCCAGGCCAAGGGCCGCCAGCACCGGCCACCGCTGGCCTCCTGAGCCCGGCTGTCCAGGCCCTGGGAACCTCCCCCATGTATTGCTAAGAGGCGCTCAGTCCGAGGTCGCTCAACGAGGCATCGGCGGGGCCGGGGCGGGGTGGTGAGAGGGAACCAGAGGAGGATGTCACCGGGGCCAGGCCCTGCCTGTGCGGCCAGAGGAGTGGGGCAAGGCCTCTGCCCCCACGACCTGCCTTCCTGAGGTCTGTGACCCTTGGGGGTCCTGCCCTCTCCCCACAAGCGGGTCTCTGGGCTAACTGGTTTCACCCCAGGACGGGGCACAGTGTGGTCCGAGCCCCCCGCCGTGCTCCCCTTCCTGGGGGGCTCTGGGGCAACCTGGGCCCTGGTGGAGCATCTCCAGCCCCAGCGACAGGAAGGGGTCTCCCCAGCTTCCCACGGCTGAGGCAGACGGCTGCGGGGTGAACACCCCAGCTCCTGCCTGAGATTCCCCAGGGCCAGGGGTGGGAACAGGGAGGGACGAGAGAGACCCACGCTCCTGCCCACCCATGTCCCACAAGGGGGGGCGGGGAGGGCCGATAAGCTACAGAACAGCCTAGAGCTGAGGAAAGCCGGCCCCAGCCGCGGGTGAGCACCTCCCTGTCTGCAGCGCCTGGGTCCTCGGCTGGGCCCGGGAGGGGTGAGGCAGAGGCCGGCCGCACACACGGGGCGGGTGCAGGCTGCTGCTGTCTTGGAGAGGGAGCAAGTCTAACATCCTCCAGGGCCGCTATTTCCCATGCAGTGCGCACGCTCAATTTAAAAGGCCCCTGTGTTCCAGCAAGCGAGCAAGCGGGCTTTTGTTTCTAATGCATACTGTGAAAGGAAAAAAAATCACAGTTATCCACCTTCTCAGGGCCTGCGGGCGCTAGACTTTTTTTTAACCATCCATCAGGAAAGCTCAGCCTGTCTCTCAGGGGAAGCACCTGCTGGCCACTCCCTGCAGGGCCACCGTGCCCGGGTACACTAGCTCCGGGAGAGGGGCAGGCACCACACAGTGCCGCCTGGGCCAGCTCTGCCCAGGTCTTTGTCTTCGGGGAGCCCCAGAGCATCAGCCTGGGCCCACGTGGCAAGTGAGGGAGGTCCTGGATCTTCCCAAGGGCGCAAGGGCCCAGAAGAGAGCTGCGATCCTCGCTGGGTCTACCTGACAGAACAAGTTAGGGAAGGAAGGACGGAGGGCGGGAGCGGGAAGGCGGAGGGTCTGGGGACAGGTGACTCCTCGGTTCCTCACAGCCGGGAAGGGTCCCCGCGCATGCAGGGGCAGGTGCTCGGGGTGGAGATAGGCGGGGGACCCGGCGCTCCGGCAGCTCCGTCCTCCCCACCCCCTCCTCCCTGCCTGCTGACCGCCCCGTCGGCTCCTGGAACTGAGGGGCAGGTCCCACAGGGCAGGGCCTTGGCTGCCTGGCAGTCCTGGGGAGGGGAAGCCACGAGAGTAGGCCCCTGGCTCTCCGACCCTCCAGCTCTCTGGGCAGCTCCCTCCCTGGGGAGGGGTTGGGGGGTACATGCACTCAGCCAGGTCAAGGAGGAAAGGTGACGCACACCAAATTCAACACCCGACAGAAACATTGCGCAGACCCTGTGCCTGCTCCCCAGCCTGCAGTCTCTCGGGCCTGCACCGAACACGCTTCTCGGGGAGCAGGCCGCTGTGCCCTGGCGCGCTGCGTCAGTCTCTCGCGGCTCCCTCTGCGGCCGCCTCCTGGACCGCGGCTGGAGGGAGGCGCCGAGCCTCGGCCTCTTGCCCCTGCGCTGGGGCCGCTCCTCCCCAGGCCGAGACCCTGCCCTGGGCCACCATGGTCCTCCCTCCTCGGGCAGGTTAACAACTGCTGCTGTTTCTGAACTCGCCGTTCTCAGTAATCTGCAATTTGGTGGGGTTGGTGGGGGAGATGCCGTTACGGGCTTGCATGCTGTACCTCTCTTTCAGCTGTGTCAGGGCGCTCATGAGGCGGGCGTTGGCAGCATCCAGTGAGGCGATGCGCTTCTCCTGTGGGCAAACAGGGCATCAGCTGGGGTCGCGGAATGGCCTCCTGGGCCAAAGGGAGTCCGTGACGGAAAGGGATCTCCCTGGAGCTGTGTCCACCTACAAGAAGCACTGGGAGGGGGAAGGCAGGGGGCCTGGAGGATACCACGTGTGAAGGATGGGAAAGGCACTGAGGCGGCAGTGGTCCTGCTGAGGGGGGGAGGCGGCCTTGCCATCATGGACCAACACCTCCTTGCGCCCGCCTTCCTCATGTCTCTACATCATCACCTGCTTCCCACCCAAAGGGAGCAGCCCCAGCAGTGTCAGGCACAAGCTTGTTCATGTGTGTGTGCACTGGTGTGTACAACACAGAGGTCACAGCTACCGGTCAGCCTGTGCAGTTTCCAGACTGAGCAAGCCCTGGGCCTGGAGAGGAAAAGGGCGCAGACCTGGGTGAAGGAGACTGGAGGCCAGTCTCTTAACTGTCTCCCCTCTCAATGCAGTTGGGAAGCCACAGCTCTGAACAAGAGCTCCTTTGCTCCCTCTCTCCCAAGCCTGCTGTCACCCCCAGCCTTTCCCATTCCCCTCCCAACAGTTTCCACTCTTTGGTCAGAACCCCTGGTGAAAGGCAATACCCACCAAGCTGCCCCTGCAGGGGAGGAGTTGCCCCGCCCTTTTCATAGCCTGTCCTAGTGAGCTTGTGGTCCACCGAGACCCTCAAGTCTGACTTCTTGGAGCAGAGATCCTGATCTCCTATCCTCCTTAGCTTCTGCAGTGGGGTATGACTGAGGATGTGAAGAAACCAAAGTCACCCCCTCCTTATCCCGGGTCCTTTGGCACCCGTGGCTGCCCGGGAGGCCAGAGCCCCGCACCTGGGCATCAATGATCTTCTGCTTGGAGTCTACAGCTGCCTGCATCTCCGCGTGGTCCTTCTTCAGCTCCTCCTCCACTGACATCAACCTGTTACCAGAGACAAGGGCAGTCAGGCTGGCATTTGAGGGTGCAGGTGAGGAGGTGCGTGCGGGGCCTGGTGGGAACAAACCATCGCCCCTGCACAGAGTGGGCATACTCGGAGAGCCCCTCCTTGGGCCATAGACTCACCTCCCACACTTGCCTGGGACACGGGCCCTCCAGCTGGCCCCCAACAACTGACACAGGCTGAGCCTGCTCCTTCCTCATGCTTCACCCGCCCCAGCTTCTGTTCCCAAATCCCCAGAAGTCCCTGGGGCTGCCCCTTTCCTGGTGTCCTTCCAGGAGCCACAGGGGTGGGAGTGGGTGTTAGATCCTCACCACACCCCAGAGCCAGGCAGGTGGTGTAACATCCTGAGACCTGTGGTTTGAGTGGGAAACAAAGGCCCTGCAAGGCTCTAGAGCTTTCTCCACCCACCCTGTATTCACTGAGGCTGTGCCGGGCACTCGAGGTGGCAAGATGAAGTCGCAGGGCAGTAGGGACACAGGCAGGGAGAAGGTAACCACGCTCTGCAGTGGGCAGCTTGTGGGCCGTGGGGACGGAGGACAGGAAGTGGCTGGCTGGCTGTCTTGGGGGTGGGGGTGGACGCACTGAACTGGACAGCTGAAGGACAAGCAAGGCCTGCCGCCTGGGTAACGAGCAGGGAAGACGCGAGGAACACGATCCACAGAAGCTCAGAACTAGGGCCAGCGGGGGCCTGTCGCCAGCTGCTCCTTCCCTGAGACCCTTCCAGGGCTCAGCCTGCTTGTCTCCCACGTACCTGTCAGTCACTGTTGGTCACTCCCATCTTCCTACTCTCTTCCTTCAGCTTTCAGACCCCATGCTCTCTGGGTTTGCGTCCTAGCTCCCAGGCCACTGCTCTGCGGAGGCCTTGTCCTGTCCGCCCCTAGGCTGTCAGGGCTGCACAGGGCTCTGCCTCAGCCGGCCACTCTTCCTGCTCCACACTCTCCTCAGAGGAGTTCACCTACTGCTTTATTTCTGTCTCTGCCCGCACAGCTTCTGCAGAGCAGCACAGCACCTAACATGGAGGCGAGCACTTCGTCCATTTCACAGGAGATGCTCAGGCAGGTCAACAGCGCTGGGGCAGGGACCACAGAGGGCTGTCGTGAAAAGCCAATGGGAGCAGGGGTTGAGGAGGAAGGGGTGTGGGCTCACGCCAAGAGGGGAAGTTCCTTGTCATAGGTAGGTACGTCACTGAGCAAAGCCTGTGAGAAGCGGGAGTGGGAGGAATGGAGGAAGGGGGAGAGACTTCTGCTCCCAGCTATGGTGGAATAACAAACAGGCACTGGATTTAACCTCCTGCCGTGAGGAAAAAACCAAACTAGAAAACTGGACAAAATACATGAAAACAAAGGTTTCCAGACACTGAAAAGCAGGCAGTGCAGTACAGTACGGTGACCCCTAAGAGAAGGGAACACACGAAGCGAGCCCCGCCCACTGCTGGCAGTGTCCCGGCAAGCAAAGGAGGGAAGGGGTCACATGGAGTCAAGGAGACCCTGGGAGGATGGAAGGGTGGGGGGAGCAAGGCTTTTAGGGGGCAGTACCAAAGAGGAGAAAATGCAGAGAGGACTCTACCTATCTCCTGAGGGGTCCCCTTGGGGCTTTGGCTGAGGACTGCTCTGCATGCTTGTGAGAAAACAGCCAGGCTAGGGCAAGAGCCACTGCAAAGGAGTACACAAAACAACCCCAGGAATAGTTTATGATCCCTCTAGGCAGTGTGGAAAAGCATACTAACACAGGAGGCATCAAGTAGAACCCCCAGAAGCAAAGTCCTCAACAGTGAAGCCAGATTAGGCCTACAGGCTAAAGACTGCCCAGGACCCACCCCAACGAAGCTTAAAAGTGAGCCTCAAAAGAATCAAACTGATTCTTCTAACGTCACTGTGTCCCGGAACAAAGCCCCCAAATATTGAAAGGAACACAACACATCCAACAGCTACGTAAAAATCACAGCGTCAGGCATCCAACCCCAAATCATCAAGCACGCAGAGAAGTAGGAAAACAAAACCAACCCATGACCAGGAAGAAAAGCAGTAAAAACAGACTCAGAAAATGTCAGATGATAGAATTAGTAGACAAGGACATTAATACAACTGTTATAAATATATTCTACGTGGTCAAGAAAAGAGAGGAATGCATGAGCATGACGAGAAAAGAAATGGATGGGATTTAAAGAAAACTGAAAACTTAGGGGCAAAAATACAACACCCGAAGTGAAAAATTACTGGATAGGATTAACAGCAGGTTAGACGCTTAAGAAGAAACGATTAGTGAACTTGAAGACACTGCAACAATCTAAAAGAAAACACAGAAAAAAGATGAAAAAAAGGACAACAGCAGAGCATCAGTAAGATGTGGGGCAACATAAAGCAGCCTAACGTACATGCAAGTAAAGTCCCAGAAAACAGACTAAGGAGGCAGAGCTCCACACCCACAGATCCAAGAGCTCAACAAACCCATGAAGAAAACATGTCAGGGCACTTCACAATCAAGTTGCTGGCAATGGATGATAAAGAAAAAAACTGTAAATCAGCCGGAAGAAAAAGATACTATCAGAGTCCCTATTATTATAGCCTGGGTAAGGGAAAAATTGGGTCCACTGCTAGTTTTGGTAAATAGCCACACCACGCACATGCTTCTGCCAAAACAGCATGAGTTTTAGCATATTAGTTACATAGTTGAGATAGACACCATATGGCCTGCAAAGTCTAAACATTTATTATCTGCCCCTTTACAGAAGGCTTCTAACCCCTGCCCTAAAGTGACAACAAGATACAGCTAATATGGCAATAAAGGAGATAAAGTGGAATCATAAAAAATACTCAATCTAAAAGAGGGCAGGAAAAGGAACAAAACAGATAGTACAAATAGAAAACAAGTAGCAAGATAATAAGTTTAAATGTAATTATATTGACAATTACATTAAATGTAAACAGTCTAAACATTCCAATTAAAAGGCAAAAAACTGTCAGATTAGATAAAAAGCAAGAACAATAAGGTGTCTGTAAGAGAAACTCACTTTATAATGAGAGACATAATTGGGTTAAAAGTATAAATAGGATGGAAAAGGATATACCAGGCTAATACTAATCAAAAGAAAGTTAGGGCAGCTGTCCTAATATCAAACAAAGTAGATTTCAGAGCAAGGAATGTTACAAGGGATAAAGAAGATGATTTTATAATGATAAAGAGATCAGTTCATCAACAGCACATAACTAGCCTAAATGTGTATGTGTCTAAGAATAGTGTTTCAGTGAACATAAAGTAAAAACCAATAGAAATGAAAGGAGAAACAGACAAATCTGTAATTATGATTAGAAACTTCATTATCCTTTTCTCAATAATTGATAGAAAACAAGTACAGAGAAAAACCAGTAAGGATATAGAAGACTTGAACAACACCGTCAACCAAATTGACTTAATTGACGTGTACAGTAGGGAGGAAATACCAGGCTTGGCTAGTAGAAATAAATGTGTTACTGAATTTAGGAGAGCGTGCACCTCTCGGAGAACAGATAAGATGAGAATGTGGTTAAATGAAAAGTGCTTCCTTTCTTGGAACCACACACATGAGGTGAGCCAAGAGCAGAGCTGGAAGTTCAGTCAACAGTGGGTTTCTAGTCACCCTGGTTATAGGCCCTCTGCTCATGCTAACCATTTTATAAAGAAGAAACCCACAGGTAAATCAAGCAAGCAATAATTAGAAGCAGAGAAACAGGTGGTCTGAACATGAGGAATTAAGGAAGGATCTTTACAGTGGACAGAGCATGAGGCCAGGTGGGAGGACATCCCGGTTACTGCACACCTGCTGAATCTATCCTGATGACAGGCTCTTGTACCATGTGAACAAACAAGCTGTAAGTCCACACGGTCTCCTCTTGCACTTGGTAGTACTGTCATAAGGAAGTAAACTCCGTGACTGGGACCCTGTGGGCTGGTCTGAATGCTACACCTTGACTCTATTCCCTGCTTGCAGACATGCAGGAGGGTGTATCCACTTTATCCGTGGGCAGAGTGGAAGAGAGAAGGGAGTCAACACAGAAATAAAGATAAGCCACCAATAAGGATGAGAGTCAGCATTACAGCCAATGGTCCACCTGGAAATCTTCCTGCATAACCCACAGGCACCTTAAAACTCAGCATATCCAAAACTGGTATCATCTCTCTCCCTCCTCATCCAAACTGCTCTGCTTCCAAAGGCCCCCATCTCAGTAACTGGCACCGTGACACACCTGGATGCTCTCGGTAAAAAGCCGGGGGTCATTCTGGCTACTTCGTCCCTCCCACCTCCCACACTCACCCACTGCATGTAACGGACATCCATTCCTTTCCCTGCCCCGGAATGGACCCTCACTGTCTTTCCTGGCACCTGCATCCAGCTTCTGAACTCCCCTGTGAGTGCGCACCAAGAAAACATGACTCCCTACAGGAAGCCTAGGCCCTCGGCGGCTGCCTTGGCCACCCTCACATTCCGCCATCGACACACACTGTACCATGCGGGCCCCCCACACTCCGGGCTACCTCCCGCCTCTGGGCCTGTTCCACACTGTCCCCACGGCCTCGGACACTCTTCTCTCTCCACACTCGGCTCACCCTGCGGCTGAGCAGCCCCGCCCTCGGATCCGGGGCCTCCTGGAGGGCAGCGGACAGGTCCGCTCCTCTGTGCGCGTGGGGCCAGAAGCGGGCGCAGAGCAGGAACGGGCAGCCGCCCTCACCTGCTGATGATGCCTTTCATCTGGATGTCCTTGTCCTCCTGCTGCCGTCGCAGCCGCTCCTCGCCCTCCTCCAGCCGCGCCTGATACTCCAGCACCAGCTTCTGGGTTGTCTCCTCCTGGCACTTGAACAGGGTCTCATACTCCTCCAGCTTCTTGGTGGAGATTCGCAACTTGTCCTGCAGCACTGCCAGGTCCTGCTAGGAGGGCGGCGTGCCACGGGCACAGCACCCAGGACAGAGAGCACAGCCTCATGAGCCCAGGCATGGGCACAGGATGGGAGGCAGCCCGGCTCGGAATGCCTCAGGGCCCATCACCATCTCAGTCCTCTTCCCACAGCGGGGAGACGCCCAGGGAGAGGGGGCCAGTGACACTCGATGCCTGGGCCCCCATCCGGGGCTCTCCCACCCGCCAGCCCAACCTACAGCTATGAGGCAGATGAAGACTCAAACCAGATCTCAGAAGTAAAGGTCTTGAGCTTTTCATAATAAAAAAAAGTTATAAACCTCTCGGGTACATTAAGGAGATGACAGTACTCTGAGAGACGGGGGCTCTACAGGAGGGGACACTGAGACCCAGAAGGCAAATGACCCAATCACATGGGGAGTACAGTGACTGACTGATGGGGTGAGATCACAGCCTCCCAGCCTCGATTTGACCCTGAAGCCGTGGCAAGTCGCATAGGAAGGAAGTCGGGGGAAGAGATTAAAGGCAAAGTGGTCTAGGGCTTTCTGGATCTGGCTCAGCCCAGCACTCTCGGCCTTCAGGGAGGAGGAGGGATGTGTAAAGCGGCAAGAGAAGCAGTGAGCTGGGAGGCTGTGCGAGCTGAATAGAGCGCGAGGCAGGGTCAACACCCGAATCAAGGGGCTGGGGAGGTTGGGCGCCGGGTGCTGTGAGAATACGGGGAATGGGGAAGGCAGGAAGGGCCTCTCCTTGAGCCTCGGGCATCGGGAGCCAATTCACTCATCAGCAGAGGACTGCCCAGAGGCCAGGAGGCAGCAAATCTAACTCCTAAAGCAAAGCTGGCCCCAGAGGAGAGCCCAGCTCCAGGAGAAACAGCCCCATCCCAGGTCTTCTGCACAGCTGGTCAGAGCGGGGTCGGGAGGGCCCTCCCTGACAGAGACAGGACCAGGTATCCAAGGAGCTCGAGGGAACTCCACAGGATTTGCCTGCGAGGGTTAATGGCAAAGCAAGAGAGAAACAGCAGCTTGCTGGGCCAAGGCACGAGGAAAGAGAACACTCCAGCTGCAGCCTGACCCCTGAAGTCGTTCAGGCACTCCTTGTAATTCACAGATGGGAAGGTAGGTAGTCTCAGAAAATCGCAGAGCCTGGCCCCAGACCCACGCAAGGAGCCTGGGGTGAAGCTGGCCCTCCTTGCTCCCCAGCCAAACTCTGGCTCTTGGAGCACTGTGCCCCATGTCCCCTGGTCCCATTCACGCAATAATGGTGAAAGCAGGTGGATGCAGTGGACCGAGGGGATGGTGGAGGCGGCGGAATGCAGCATGGACGTGGACCTGCCCCAGGCCAGCGGGAGGGAGAGCGGACACCCTGCCCTCCGTACCCTCGCCTGAGAGGCTGCTACAGGCTTTCCTGGGGCCAAGAGGGGCGAGGGCACCCACGGTGAGTGGGGGAAGCGGCTGCTGTTCTGGGGGGCCTTGCACTGGTCCTGTCAACCTGGGCTTTGGCCTCCAGGAGAAGAGAATCGGCCATGGATCCAGGGCAGCTGCCACAATAACTAAAAGAATTTTGGAGAGCTGAAGCACCCCACTGCTCACCCAAATACTAGATATACGTTGGGGGTGGGATGTGGATGTTTTAGGACCAACATTTTTCCCCTGAAAAGAAGAAAGCATCTCGGTAGCAATCTGACATCACCCCTCCCCGGCTCTCTCTCCCAGAACCTGGTGGAGACGGGGACTGGGGGAAAGCCAGGCCGCAGGCAGGCACAACCCCAGAGTGGAGGGGCCTGGCCAGGGTGCCTCCCTGCTGTCTCCAGGACCCGTGCCTCTGCCTCTTCATGCGTGAGGCTCCCCACAAGGGTCTCCATGCACCTCTTTGGCACCCCTGACCCCCCAGGTCCTGGATTCTCCTCAAGTCCCAGATGCTCAGAAGCTCGGCTGCCCAGTCCCTTAGGAAAGGTGCCTCCTGGGGTCTGGATTCGATACAGCTCCTGGGCGGGCCTCACATGCAGCCCACGGAGGAAACCTCAGGTTTAAGCTAAATCCTCCAAATTCCACTGACTGCTGCCCTCGCGAGGGACCAGGGGTTGAGAGGGGACTGGCCACGTGCAGGAACAAGCAGTGCCGTGAATTCAGGGCTCGAGGGGAGAGAATTCTGCCAGCCACCTCGGGGAGGCAGCCCTGCCCCGAACTGCCAGGGTCCAGCTTTACCTTTTCTGCTTGGCTGAGCTCCTCCTTACTCCTTAGCCTATCCCTGTGGGGGGGGTCTGGGCCCAGGCCCTCGTCTTCTAACAACTGCGCGTTCATGGTCAAGAGCCAGGCGGCCGTGCGGTCCAGGGCGTTGGGGCTCACGGGCGAAGGGCCCTGCGGTGAAACACAGCTGTGAGGGGCTGGGGGGAGGGGTGCGGGGTGGCCTTGGGTGAGCCCCAGGGACACGTGGCTCAGAGGGAATCTTTAGCTGACTGGGCACGTCTGATGCAGCCCCCAGCCCGGGCAACTCCAGGGAGGCTGAAGCAGAGTCAAGAGCCCAGGTGGCCTCCTGAGCATGGCTCTCTGCCACCCAAGTGAGAGCGAGTGGACCTGGCCTGGCAGGTCAGTGTCCGGCCCACAGTACATCTGTTACCCTACTGCGTGTACAGCCCTGGAGGCCAGCTCAGAGCAGGAGGGGGCCTGGGGGCCACGTCAACTCCTACCCCGGGTCGGGCTTTAACAGGCTTGGAAGTGGAGATGGACGGACCCCTCCCTCTTCCTCCTTGACCCCAGCTGTCTCTGAGGGAACTGGCAGAGGGAGCCCCGGGCCGCAGTGTCCCTGGTTCACAGGACGCAGGCAAGGGCCAGTGGGGCCAGGGGAGGGGCCGGGGGGGGTGCGCAAGCTGGTGGGATGGGGACAAGTGGGGCATCGTTCAGCATGGGATGGCAGCGGGTGCAGGTGGCGATGACACGGCCAGGAGGAGCAGCACAACACGGGTTCAGGCCGCCCCCCCGGCACCGGAGCCCGGCAGCACTGACCTGCTTGTGCACCGCGCGAGGCTTCAGCTCGGGGCTGTCGCCCTTGGAGGAGGAGGATTGTTGCCGCAGCCGGGCTCCGGGGCCAGCCCAGTCGGGGGGTGGGTGGCGTCCGGCCGCGGGGCGCGGGAGGCGGCGGCGGGGGTGGGGGCGGCGGCTGGTCGATCCTCCGCTGGGGGCCGGCGCTGTTCTGCCGCGGCCCCGGGGGCTGCCCGCCCTTCTCAGTCAGCGACACCTGTCGCCGCGCCAGCTCCCCGGGGCGCCGCCCCAGCTCCTCGGCGGTGCTGCTGAAACTTCCCAGCTTGGTGGCAGCCGCCAGCTCCTCGCTGTTGCTGTGGGAGCTCAAGGAGCTGTGGCCCTCGGAGCCAGAGTCGCCAAGGCCACGGGGAGACAGCGGCAGGCCGGCCGCCATCTGGTACACAGGGTTCTGGAAGGAGAGCGGCGCCAACAGCTGGGGCCGGCCTGGCGCGCCCTCCGAGGTGCCCGCTGTGCTCGGCGTCTGGCCTGCCCGCCGCACTGTGGCCAGCCCTGCCAGGCTCGCTGGGGCTACCCGGGCCGGCCACCCGGCCACCAGCTGAGCTGCAGGCGCCTGCCCGTCGACGACGAGGGCGTCGGGGCCCGCCGGGGAGCCCGCCTCCCCGTCCAGCGCGCGGGCGTCCTGGAGGTCCACCATGGACAGGCTCTTGCCACCGTTGGCCATCTGAAGATCAGGCTCGTTGGCTTCCGAGTAACTCGAGCTGCGGGCAGGTGAGGGCTGGACCCCGGAGGACCTTGTGACAAAAAACAAGTCCTTGTTTTCGGGGGTTGGAGACGGTAACCGGGTGAAATCTATCAGACTGCAGGGAGACAAGCACACACAGGGAAAGAAGGGGGAAGAGAACTGTGAGTGCGGCCAAGGCGGGTCCCAACCGAGAGCCCCCGCCAACCTGCCGCCAGGCCGGGGGGAAGAGGCGCGGGGGCAGTGAGAGGGGAGAGTCCCGGGGCCCAGTGGCCCAGCTGCAAGACCAAACCACAGCCCGGGCAGCTGACCCTGGCAGAAGCCACCACGAGGGCGAGGGGCTGATGGCTGCTCCAGCACGGAACCTCTGCACTAGGGACCCGCGCTCCCAGTGTCAGGCCAGGCTGCCTGGCAGGCCCTTTCCCTGCTCAGCTGCATCTTGGGACAGTAGGTTCTGGGGCCTGAAGTGTTCTGGAAAATCCCTCTGACTAAATCCAAACCCACGACGCAGTGGCTCTCTGCTATCCAAGGGTCCTGCACCGAGAACTAGGGCTTCAAAGCCACGGGGACTCCCTCTGCCTCTTCCCTCTTGTTCCTAGTCACACTGATAACTAGGTGGGGGCCTGTGCTGAGAGAAGCCTCCACCTGCAGCCTCCTGCTGCCACCCCAGTCTGACTGGCAGGCGGGGGCTGGCGCTTCCGGCAGAAACAAGGAATCAGAGGAGGCTCCTCCGGGCATGAGTCAGGCGGGGAGGGCCGGCACATGCCGTGGCAGGCCATACCCTCACCCCATCCCGGACTCCCAGACTCTCCCTGGCCCCTCCCTGGAAGCCAACTCCTTGGAAGGAGGCACAAAGCCAGGTGGGCTTTGGAAGGAAGAACGCGGGGGGGGGGGGGGGTGAACAGGGCTCTGAGTGGGCTAGAGGCAGCAAGAACTTGGGGGTTCAACATGGGCTTAGAAAGGAGTTGGCTTAGTCTGGGATGGTGAAGAAGTGCCAAGTCCCAGGTGATGGGACTCAGGCAGGGCAGGGAGCGGCCACTCAGGGCCACAGCACTTGTGGGCCAAGAAGTGGACGAGGGCAGCAGGCAGAGGCGGGAGAAACCCAGACCAGCCATGGGCCTGGGCCGTCCTTCCACACGCCCAGGTCAGGTCTCCTGAGAACCCATGTGCCCGGACACCTCTCGAGCCACCACTCGGCTAAGGTGTGTTCCCCACCTGAATCTCTGCTTTGGCTCACTTGGAAGATTGTATGAACGGCCCCTCAAGACTTAGAGGGCCCCGAGAAGGGGCATCAAGGTCTCTGCATCTCCCGCCTCCCCCTGGGCCTCCAGTCCCTCGCACCACATCCCCAGGTCCTTGATCTCAATGCCCTCGCCTGCTAAAAGCCTGCTGCTGCCACCATTTCAGAACCAGAGAGCTCCCAACTCTGCTGCTCCAGCCTCATCCTCACTAGCTGGTCCAAGATGGCCCTGGTAGAGGAGGGGAGTGTACAACTGTGGCATAAGTAGTTCACTGTAAATGCCAAGGTCCTCATTTTGATGTCATCACTCAGAGAACACTTTGCCTCCCCCTCCACTGTTGTTTTATTTACTGGGCACTCGTCCCAGGGCTGGGGGCTCAGAGCAAGAGCTGGGCCTCAGCATCTCTCTAGTTTCCCAGGCTCTCAGTCTCTAAGCCTTACAGAGTCACTTGAGCTCCTCCTGAAAACACACACCCTGGAGCGTCACTTCTGGAGATTCTGATTCAGGTCCAGGAAATACCAGGAAACACATACAACCCAGTGATGTGGAAGTGTTTGGGACCAGTAATTGTTCTTCAACAAAAGATGGGTTGTCTTTCTCCGGGCCTTTGTCTGTGCTAGTCCCTCTGCCTAGAACGCCTTTTCCACCAATGGTGGTATTACTTTTTCCTGAGCTCCAAACTATAGCACTACCTCCTCCAAGAAGCCTTTCCTGATTTTTCACAAATAGAACTTCACTACTTAGGGCCTGAAAAACACACTTGACTTGAGTCTCATTCAGCTTGTTTTATAAACACCAGCGTAGGTATCTTCCACCCCAAATGAGACTGCAGGTGGCTGCGCCTTGTCTGAACAGGCACCCCGCGACACCCAGCATGCCTGGCAGCTCCTACCCGGAGACGTCGTTCTCGATCACCATCTTCTGCAGCCCCGCTGAGATGCTGCTGCTGCCAGAGCCGGGCGTAGAGGCCAAGTCGTTGGTCCCTGCAAGCTGCCCGCTGCCTGGGGCACTCAGTGCTGTGTGCACGTCCCTCAGGATTCGAGGCAGAGGCCCCAGTTTGGATACGATGCTCTGCAAAAACACAGCAAGAGGCAGGTGTGACCCACTGGGGCTGCCTGTGGTGTGACCCACTGGGGCCAAGTGCGCTGTAGCTACTGTGTTCAAAACTTCTAAGGAGCCAGTCAGAAATGCAGCCCCGCCCTCCCATGCAGGTCAGATCCGGCAGGTCTGGGATGCGGTAGGGAGCCCAGAAATCACAAATGACGTTTTTACCAGTTCCCCACATATTTCTGGGACAGGGTGCGAGGCCCACAGGGAGAAACGTGAACCTAGTCCAAGCCTTTCACCCCAGTCTGTCCTACCTCAGTTCCCCCACAGAGAGGGCAGGCCACATGGAATCCCGGACCTTCCCCATCTATACCTCCCCACCTGAGAGGCTTGGCTCGGGGATGGCTCCCTCCCATGTCATCTACTCCACAGGGTGGGCTGGGCCCTGACCCACTCCGACACCTGAGCCCCAGGGGCAACGGCCCAGGCACCAGGTAGGCACCACCACACGCCTGTCAGGCAGACAGTGGCACCTGGGCTGGCTAAACCTCGCTATCCTGGTTTAGACCAACGGTGCTAAGCGTTCCGGGCTGGGGACAGGGGACTCCGCCTTCCCCTGGCTCATGCCCCCGCTTCCATCTAGGACTTTGTGCAAAAAGAAAGTGTGAGAACTCGTGTAGTCAACAGAGAAGAGACGTGAGCGGCAAACAGCTCGACTTTCAATCCTGCTGCAATTTCTGTAGCTCCCGCCTGGCTGCGCGGACATGGAAGACAGTGGCAGGGCACAGGCGCTCAGTTAAGCGATGGCCGTAGACTGAACGGTGTTGGCAGCAGTGGAGGGAGAGAAGCCCTTGGCCCTCATCTCCATTTCTCCCTCCTGGGTCTCTCGGAGCCAAAGGGCAATGGACATAAAGGAGCAGAAATGACTGCAACAGCATGTTTGTAGTTAAAAGCTGGGCCTAATCTGAGCGTCCAGTAAACTAAACAGTGCAGTCACATGACAGGACAGTCTGTGCCATTAGAAAGGTCACAGTGGCGGTGTGGCACGTACTGTCGTGAAAAGATGCCAATGACGGAGGAGTGAGAAACGCATGCGGCACTGCATGCAAAGTTCTCACTTTAACAAAAAGGGAAAGGACTTTGGCTGTGTGTGTACTTAACATATGCACAGATGTATCTAGAAGGCTACACACCAGAGCGCCCTGAGTGGTCACCCCTAGGGACGGGACAGGAGTAAGAAGGCCTTCCAGTCCTGTTTCAGCAGTAGCTACTTTTGTAAGGTGGTCTCACAGAGCCCTGGAAAGCAGATGTTCTGGAAGCGGATCCTGGCAGGCCCAGCCCTTGCTGCCCAGAACCTGCTCACTGTGCGAGCTGGGGCTGCTTGGGACAGTGGAACCCAGGCCACGGTGGCTGCAGCAATGTCAGAGACGTCTAGGGAATAACCATTTATTTCAACTGATGGCCAAGGGCAATTCTGGAAAGGTTTGCCACTTCCTGCCTGACACGTGGAGGTGTGGCACCTCAGTCTTCTTTTTCGTATCGGTGGCCTTAAAACCCAGAGCAAGGACATTTTCAGAGAAGCAGCTATACCTGATCACGCTTTTCGGAGGCAGGGAGCACACCCTCAGCAGTGGACTCCATCCACTCGATGCCAAGCGTGTGGAGGCACGGCCGAAGCCCCAGTACACAGAGCGGGCTCCCCTGGGCAGGGGCTGCCGCGTGAACATGGTGCTCCCCACCGAGGAAGTGGGGCCCGAGATCCCCAGTGCTGACAGGGCCTGGGCTGGACCCTGGGCTCCGGCGCCCGGCAGGGCCGCTGATCCGCACCGCACAGGCGAACCCTCTGAGCCCCTGGCTACTCTGGGAGCTGGAGCGGCCTGAAGCAGCTCTGGTGGCCTTCGGCCCGCCCTCCGCCCCATTGCGGCCCGGTGCACAGGCACCTGCTCCAGCTGGCTGACGGCCTCCCAGAGCAGCGAGTGCAGGCTGGAGAGCTCGCGGCCCAGGTCGATGTAGCCCTCGAAGCCGGCCGTGTTGGAGATGGTCTCGGGGTTGGAGATCTCCAGCAGGAAGCGCTGCATGTTGGTCCACTCGTGCTCCAGGAACTGGTTCATGAAAGACATGTACTCCTCCTTGCTGCCAAACCTGGAGCCGAGCAGATGGGGTGAGTGCCCTGGGCCCCGCCCAGGAGCCCCCCTTCACCACTTACTCCCCAGCCAGCCAATCCACTCTGGCTCAGGGCCCTCATGGCTAAAGCTAGAGACCCTTTCTGAGCCTTTTCTCACAGGACCTGGAAGGTTCAGTGGCCCTCACTCCCCATTCACCGCCAGTCACAATCTCCTTCCTCTTTTCCCCCAAATGGCAGCGGTCTGCTGCGTAGACGACTCTCAATCCATGCCCGGCAAGGTCTCTCTGCCGAGCTTTCAGACACATTCCGCCACGGGCACCTCCCCCTCCGTCCTCAGCTGCGGTCATCTCCGGCACCCCGAACCTGCGCCCTCCTCCAGGGCTCCCTGCCCCCAGGGGAGACGCCACCACCCAGCAGAGAGCTGCGCGAGGAGCCTAGCCATGGTCAGCTCCTCCCATGCCTCCCCCACCACCGGCCAGGCTGCTGACCTTACCTTCTAACCACCCCGTGACCTCGCAGCAGTGCCTCCAGCACCGCCACCCCCGGACCCAGCACTTCCACCCCTTTGCTGTTACCAGAAGCGTAACTTTGCTCTCCACCCAGCCTCTCGCCTGCCAGTCCCGCCCCCTCCACCCCTCAGCCCCACTGCTGCCAGGCTGAACTCTGCAGGACTCTCACCCTCTCCCTTGCTCCAAGACCCTGCCTGGCCTTCAAAAGTCCCTGCTTTCCTCTTGGGTCTCATCTCCCACCTCCCCCAGCCTGGCACTTGATGATTCAGGGACCGCACAGCGCCTGGTCCCTCCCGGGCCTGTCTGCCCCTGCTGCCCTTCGTCCTGACACGCAGCTGGGGGAGAACGTCTCCTAGGAAGCCTCCCTCTCTCCTCTCCCAAGAAGCGCAGGGCCCTCCTGCGAGGCCGTGTGGCCACGTCCACCCGCTCTCTCCCCTGCTGTAGGTCTGTGTCCCAAAGTACAGGCCGGGCGCAGAGGAGGCCCAGAGGCAGGCTCCATCCACACCTCCTGAGAGCGCCTTGATGACCCAGCCCTTCCGTTCCCACCCACTCCCTCTAAGGTACAGCGAGAACACTGAGGTGCTTCACTAGCAAAGATGTCCTTGGCAGCCTTAGATAAGGACAATCTGAAACAAGCCGGGTGCCCAACCACAGGGGTCGGCTTCAGGAGACACAGGCCCTTGTCCCTCAAAGGCATATTAGTCACTCATTTCAAAACCAAGCGTATGAATGATAAGTACATGGGAGAATCCTTATGATAAAATGTTCATTCAAAGAAGCAGAAGGGGGCTTCCCTGGTGGCGCAGCGGCTGAGAGTCCGCCTGCCGATGCAGGGGACACGGGTTCGAGCCCCGGTCCGGGAAGATCCCACATGCCGCAGAGCGGCTGGGCCCGTGAGCCTGCGCGTCCGGACCCTGTGCTCCGCAACGGGAGAGGCCGCGACAGTGAGAGGCCCGCGTACCGCACACACACAAAAAAAAAGCAGCAGAAGGAAAAAATACCTTGTCTTCTCCCCTTTGAAAATTACACGGAAACATACCACAGCGGCATGTACGTTCAGTAGGGGAGCTGGGGTGCGGGGAAGGACTGAGGACGGCAGGGACTGGCCTGTCGCACGGCCCAGCTCTGGGGCAGACCCTGCGCCACGGACCCTGCCGTCGGGGGACGTGGCACTCACTTGGCGAAGTTGGCCAGGTTCTGGGTGACCTTGGCGATGAGGGTGAGCGTGCGCGCGGTGCGGTCATCGGGGTACTCCTGCAGCAGGTTGAAGAGTGAGGGCGACATGATGGCCGGGCAGAGGAAGCGCAGGAACAGGGAGGCGCTGATGAGCCGCTCGCTGATGTCCGGCCGGCCGCGGCTGCTGCACTCTTGCCGCCACGAGGCGAACACCTCCTTCAGCTCCCGCGGGAAGACGCTGTGCCGGGACACACGACGGGGCGCTGGCCGTCAGGCAGGGCGCCGGGACCGGAGGGGGCAGAGCAGGGGCCCGGTTCTGGGTCCAATGGAACCGAGTTCCAGCCCTGCTCCACCATGAGGGCTGTGTGAGCCGGCACAGGGAGAGCACAGAGCAGGCACAGGAGCAGGGCCGCCCGGGCCGCAGTCAGGTGGATCTCTCCCCGGGGGGTTGAGTGGGGTGGGACACAGGCACGGGGGAGCCGGCAGTGAGGGCCAGCTCCCAGAGGGCTTCACCCCCCTCCCCTCACGGCAGGCATCAGGGTCTAGGGGAGAGTGAGGAAAACACAGTAGGAACAGACCACCACTCCTTGGTTCCCATCCCTGCCTTTTGAAACTTACTCCCTTCACTCAAATAACGTTATAGAGTTAGAGGTTTTCAGCAGAGCTCAGGGTGATCAAGATGGGTGGATCCTAACCACAGGGTGAGGACACGGCTCCCTACTTTCTCAGTGGGGAGGGAAATGGAGGCAGTGGCCTCCCCAGGCAGACCCGGCGAGTGTAGGCAGCGTTCCCGGCACCCGGCTGGGGGCTATCTCCTCTGGGCGTCCCCCCCGCTGCCACAGGGAGGCCCCACCAGGCCAAGCTTTAAGTGGCCTTCCTATCTTTTCACCCTAGAAGATGGGCGCTCCCTGAAGCCAGAGTCCACCTGGCTCTGTCACTAGCTCAGGGTGCTCTGACCCAGGGCCTGGCCCTCCCTGGGCTTCGGTGTCCTCACTCTCACACTAAGAACAAGGCCTGCCCTGCCGAGCTCACAGAGCCATCTTAAGGCTGGGACCCCCGCAAGACTTTAAGAGGCTTTGATCAGCTTGAAAAGCTTCTGCCCAACAAGCCCAGCACCCAGCCCAGCAGACTCTGGCAGTGAATGTGGCTGAACCAACAAGGACATGGCTAGAGAGGAAGTGAGGGCAGGCGACCTTTAGTCCTGGCCCCTGAAGTACCTGGCACAGGACTGGGCAGGGGGCAGGCATTGAGTGATAACATCTATCAACAGCCTTGTTCAGAACTGAGAGGTGCCTCTGGGCCTCTACAAACGCCAGAAAGAGGAAACAAAATCATTGTCCGTGGATATGTTTCCCTGTGTCCCACACCCGGTCCACCCTGGGAACAGGGGGGCAGAGGGTGAAAACACAGCCTAGCCCAAGGGTGGGAAGTGTGTTCCAGAGCTCAGGCTCTCTGGCTGCCCCTCTTCCCCTGGTGCCAGGGTTCATTTTCAGCTCAGCCCAAGAGGCCAGGTTGGGCCCAGGTGAGCACCCTGTGTAGCCCTGGGCCAGAGGGACCTGAGCCGGAGGCGCCCACCCCACTGGCTCTGGCCATTCCCTCTGCCCCGATCCAAGGCTGTCGCTCACCTAGCAGGCCCGCCTCTGCCTGTCCTTTGGGAGCAGCAAAACATTCCCGGGCCCTCCTGTATGCCCAGGCCCGAGCTGGTGAATCTGCCTGCCCCCAGGGCGCTCAGGGTGTGTGCAGGAAATGGACTTGGACACAGGCACAATCAGGCACTCTGATGGGAGCGGGGCTGTGAGCGAGGGTGCCCAGGAGAGGGGAGCCGACCATGTGCGGTGATCTGAAGGAGGGCTGCAGAGGGGAGCCAGATACAGGCCAGGCCAGGCAAGAACATGATCAAAGAAAGGAGGAAGGTATGGCTGGGGGTCAGGGGGTGGGAATGGGGTCAGGAGAGCGACCTGGATGGGGACGGGATGCAGGTCCTGAGCTGCAGCAGTGACTGAGGAGGAAAACTTGGCAGCTCCTCCAGTGTGAAAATAAACCCACTGCTTGGGGCTGGCGGCACAGTCCCCTGGACAGTGACGAGGCTGTACTCGGCACCAGGTCAGCCGCCACCAGACGTAAGTGCCTGGGACGCTAGCCTTGCAGCTAGGCTAGCACTCCTCAGCGGCCCCGGGACTGATTCTGGCCCTGACCGCGGTCCTGTATGAGCGGCTGGCTCAGCACACCTCTGCTCCTTTCTGGGGCTGCCAGGAGCCCGCAGACCTCTGTCCCACTTAAGGCCCAATCCACCTCTTTTGTCCTTTACAGCCGCAGCAGGAGGCCCACAGCCGGTGTCCAGGCACCCACACAGGCCTCTGCTGGGCCTGATCACAAGCCTGTGAAGTGAGCACCAGCTCCTACGGACAGGTGAGGGATCCCAGGTGAAGCCATCCACCCACCCCAGGTGGGTGCCCGAGCAGGGCCTTGTCAGTCTGGCTCCCAGGGCAGCCCCAGCACCTACAACAGCACCAGCTGGTGCCCACTGTTAAGCACGAGCGATGGACTGCCAGGTCCAAATCCTCACCACTGCACAAAGCACGTCCTGCGTGTATACTCTGGAACCCCGCTTATGTCTGAGAGCCCAGAAGGGACCAGGACGGGGGCCTGGCAGCCCAGCAAGACGCAGAGGGGTCAGCCAGAGGGTGGCTTCCAACCCCAGAGCCCCACTCTGAAGCCGTGTGAGGCGCGCACGCCCCCGCCCCCCCCAAACCTCAGCTCTCCCGCTGCTGAGTGAGGGGTGATGGAGGAGAGCCGCTCACAGAGCTGCCCGGAGGGGGCGGAGCCCGGCACCCTGTGGGCACTGGCACAGGGCACAGGGCAGACGCAGGGCTGGGGGCCCTGGGCGCGCGGGCAGCACTGACCAGTAGGAACTGATGATCTTGCAGAAGGCCAGCTCGCAGCACATCCTGAGGTTGCCCTGGTGCTCGGGGAGGTCAGCGGCTGCGCACTTGCTCGGGTCCACTTCACAGTTCTCATCCGACTCATACAGCGCTTTGATGAACTCCCCTGCGGCCAGAGGGCAGGAGGGCGCAGTGAGGACCCGGCGAGCCTGCCCCGCCGCTGCCCTCTGCCCCCGGCCGGCCCGCACGCCCTACCCAGCGCGTCCTGCAGGTACTTCTGGCCCACCAGCTTGAGGTACTCCTCGATGGCCTTGGTGGCCAGCGTGTTCTCCCGGAAGATGAGGTGCTCGTCTCCACAGCGGTCCACCTCCGACATCATCAGGTCTGTCAGGAAGTCCTGCGGAGCCAGGTGAGGAGGGTGGACCTGAGTAGACTTGGCAGGTAGGACCCTAGGGTTCCAGACCCGCGCCCTGGCCAGGAGTCCCTGCTCCTCGAGGCTGCTCCACTGCCAAGCTACTGGTACCCACTGGTGGGGGCTGCCTGGGAGTGAGGGCAGGGCAGCCTGATGAGGGGAAACGTCTAGCCATGGCCACATCAGAGCTGGGCACTGGATCAGGGACGCCAAGTGCATGCTGCATGGAGCCATGGGCCCCCGTATCACAGCCGGACCGCGGGACTCAAATCCCTGCTCAGCCCTGCCCAGGTCTGGTGGGGTGACGGGGAGCGGAACTCCCCCGCCCAGTGCCACCAGTGTCGAAGAGGACAGATGGGCTGCCCTCTGCCCCTCGCACAAGCAGCTGCCACTGTCTACCCATTACTCTGATGGGGTCTCCCACACCAGACATGAGCTCGTTCTGTGCAGCCTCACAGGCAAGGATGAGAGAGAGGCAATCCGGCTGCCCTGGAAGGCAGTGAGCCAGTGCTCAGATGGAGAGAGCACCGACCTCGGCCTGGGCGGGAAGGCGGCCCACCAGCCTCTCAGCCCCAGGCGCAGCTTCACGGGCAGACCCCAGGAAGGAGCCCGAGCCCACGCCTTCCCTCCTGACTGCAGGGAGGCTGCACGATGAACCTGCTGCATCATCCAGGTGGAAACTCCTCCCTGGAGCCTGCGCCTCCTCACGCCCACGGCCAGCCTTGTGACTTGGGGGATGGGGGGGAGGACAGGCAGGAGGCAGGAAGTCGGAGACCCGGAGGAGGGTGACAGTCGGGCCAGGGGCCGCCCTGCACAGAGGCTGCATTGGCCAGTGCGGGCCAGGGCTTCTGGAGCTCTGGAAATTCCTCACTCCGATGGGCACAACTCTGGGCCCCTCTGAAATCACAAGTGGCCCTTGAAATACAGAACCGAACTCCGGGCCCCGGAGACCTGGCTAGCTGGCCAACGGAGAGACAGGAGGGGCTGGGGGGAAGTGGCAGCTGGCCTCTCCGGGGACCACACAGCCTGAGGACCCCTTCCTGACCACAGGTGACGTCCAGGGCCCCCTCTCTGAACACACGACAGCAGAGGTAAGTACTGCGTGTACTGCTCTGCTCTTGCCCACAGGGCTTCCTGAACTCCTAGGGCAGGCGCGAGGCCCAGGTGGGGAAGAGGAGGGGCTCTGCTTAGAGCTAGGACCCAACAAGGGGGAAGAGGCACAGAACAGGACAGGCACCTGTCCAAGGCCACACAGCTACCTGGGCCACACTGGGCCCGAGTCTCATTTCCAGGCCCTGTTCCTCCCCTCGCACTGAGGGGAGGGGGGACGGCAAGGAGAACGTGCCAGGTGCCCCCTCACATAGCCCTCCCCCGGGACTGCAGGGCCCTCGTCACAGGCTCTCGAGAGGCATCGCACCCATCAGTGCCCAAGTGGTCAGAGTTTGGACAAACGTGACGCCAGCAGCCCGAGTTACTTCCTATCCTTCCACCTACTGCTCTCCCCACCGAAGGGCCCACTGGGAGGCTGCAGCCCTGGCTTCCACCTCCTTCCACAATGAGCAGGCTGATTCTTCTGTCTCAGCTGCGAGTACGAGAGCAAAGGTCCCTTCAGATCGGAGTCAGACTCCCAGGCCAGCCCAGCCCTCGGGGGCCACGTACTGGAAGAACAGACACAGAGAGGAGGCTGCTCCAGCCCCTGCTGCCTCTCTGGAACTCCCTCTGGAGGCAGGACTTCCATTCACTTAGTTTCTAGCCCCCTTCCCACTGCTAACCAAGAAATTAAGAGACGGTCCCACAGGCAGCCTTGCCCAGGCAGGTCGGAGGCTGGGGGCAGGGGAAGGTGGTCCAACAACGCGGAGGAACTGAGGGCCGGACCCCACGGGGCCCATGCCGGGAAAGCGCCCCTCCCTGTTCCTGCGTTGGTCCCACACCACGAGCCCAACAGGCAGGGGCTCTGAAGGGCCCGAAGGAGGCCAGGGCCTTCCGGGAACAGAGAGAGGATAAGGGCCCCAATGGAGCACGTGCCCTGGGCTCTGCCTGCCGACCTGAGGCCCGGCCCCGCCTGTGTCTTTCCCAAGCCCGGGCTGAGGGCTCAGGACCTTGACTAGGGCAGCCCCTCACCCCCACCACAGGCCGCAAACCACACCACGCCCAGAGGGCAGAGGCCCAGCTCCCGGGGCCAGCACGCAAGGCCTCTGCAGTGTGGATGGACCCCACGTCCAGCCCTTCTCCACTGTATCCAAGGGAGGGGGCAGGGTGGAGAGGGGGAGGTGTGCCCTCGAGGCCCACAGAACCACACTCCACTGCGATGAGCAGGTAGGCGTGTGGAGCCTTCCAGAAGGAGCCTACCTGTCTCCAAAGCCAGGTGGGTGGGGCTGAGGTGTGGCCTGGCAGGGAGAGGCAGGTGAAAGGCCGGGAGAGGGGCCCCGCCCCGGCCCTGAAGTAGGGCCTGCTGGAGGGCTTTAGACTGGGGACGGCTGTAGCTGTGGCAGGCTGCCTGTCAAACAGACGGCTGCAAGAGTGACTGTGTCCCATGTGTGTGAACTGGGAGTGAGGGGTGAGTCTGGGGCTCGGACAGCGGCCTGCACCCTGGCGGTCACCTGTTGGGATGTGTCCCAAACTCAACACCTCACTGGACGTGTGTGTCTGGGTCGCTGGGACCTGTGTGCCGGCAGAGGTGGGCCTCGTGTCCTGCTCGCCTCGAGCCTCAGGGAGGGGCCAGCCCTCTGGGGCAGTGGGCGAAGTCCCTAAACCCATTTCCTCACTGCAAGGTGTGCTCCGGTCCACGGGCTCCATACCCGCCTCTGTGATCAGCTCCAACCACGGCACGGCGAAGGAGCACGAGGTCCCCACCCTCCACGATGCATCTCTTGGGTTTCAGAAACTCACCTGGCTGTGACCAGTGCCTCCACCAGCGCTGAAATCCATGACGCGGACATGGGGACCGGCAGGCAATCCAGCACATGTCACCCAGCCTCCCAAGGGGCCACATGAGGTGGGGTCCCGCCTGAGGCCCACACACCTACCTTCACCTTGCCCGTGCTCTGCAGGATGTGCACCAGGGCCGATGCCATCTCCTCCTTGGTCTTGGCGCTGAGGATGGGCTCGAGGGCGGCGCAGAGCCCCAGGTAGTGGTTGGTGATGTGCTCGGCAAACTCCTTGTACATCTCCATGGGCAGGATGGTGATGGTCTGGTAGCGCGCCTTGATGCGGATCATGGGCCCGGGGCCCTTGCCGCTCTTGGGGTTGGGCGTCACCACCGGGTACCACTTCTCCACGAACTGCCGCCCGGCCACGGAGGCGGCGGGCAGGCTCACCAGGCCCAGGTGGCTGCTGCGTTCCTTCTTCTTCTTCTTGTCTGTCTCGCGGTACAGGTGGACGGTGACGGTGCGCAGGGGCGGCAGGTTGTGGAACTCGAAGTGCTCGCCCCAAAAGACGTTGTCCGTCTTGAGCTTGCCCGTGGTGCGCGCGTACAGCACGTCGTCCAGGCACAGCTCGCACAGGTACTTCTTCTTGGCCGGCAGGTCCTTGGCCTCGATCACCCACAGCTTCAGGACGTGCTCCACGCGCCGGCTGTTGTCCTGCACACACGCACAGGGGGGCCACGGTGACCGGGGGCCCAGCCGCCTGCCCATCGCCCAGCCCGTAGCGGGGAAGAGCTCTTGGAACCGGGAGGGACCGGCGGGCGAGGGACAGCTCTGGAGTCTGACGGCTGTGGGGCTATAGGGCTGGATCTCTGCTCTAACTCGCCCTAGCTCACTGACCGCGGGCGAGTGACCATCTAAGCCTCAACTCCCTTTTCTTATTCCCTTGGGAATTAAAACCGAGTACAGAGCAAGTAAGAGGCTAGCACAATGCCTGGCACACGGCAGCCGTTTATTGGCTCCCCTGTAGTTTGCTGGTCTGCTAAGTCACTTAGAGGTAAGACCATCACTAAGGCCCTTCCTTAGTAATGTCATGGCGACCAGGACTCAGCCCAGGCCAAGCTGGCCAGGGAGGCAGACACAGAAGCAAGTGATGAGAGTCGGGGTCCCAGGAACCTTCTGGGAGAAGCCTGGGGGCAGTAGGAACACAGGAGGGCACCGGCCTGGGCCGGCGGTGCTCGCCTGGATGAGGGAACAGAAAGCGAAGCTGGACTCGAAGGGATGAGCAGGATTCGGCCGGCGGGGAGAGGGCCAAGAGCTCCAGACAGATGGACACCAGCACCCAAAACCCCCAATGCTCAGTTCTCTGGCCCAGCCTCTTCAGTGTGCAGCTTCGAAGGCTGAGGCCCCCAGCACGAGTCAGCCTCTTTCAGAGCCCTGCACTACGGCCCACTCGGGCCCCGCCTGCCCACAGGCTGCCTGCACCCCCAAGCCCAGGCCACACCAGAGGCCCCTCCGTCTGCTCCCTCACGTCAGCGTCCGTGCTCTGCTCTGAGTCTAGCCTCCATCCCCCATGCTCTGGGGACAGCGGACACAGGCCCACCTTGTTGGGATGCACCGCTCGCCGCAGGTTCTCCATCCACTTATCCCGCTCGGCCGCTGACCGGCAGGAGAAGCACTTGCTTCCCGACGACGTCGTCACCTGTGGGGACGGGCAGCACAGTGTCACGGGGAGGGCAAGGCAGCAAGGCGGCGTGATGGAGGACCTCCAGGACTTGCAGGGTTTTGGCTGCCAGGTCTGACCGCACCCCAGCCCCAGGCAGGAGGCAGAACAACGACCCCCGTATTTCACATTTGCGGGTGGTGCACCGAGACCTGTGGTCCCAGAGCAAGACAGTGACAGGAGGGTGGCCCAGCCCCGTGCCGGCTGGTGCCTGGTCCTGGCTCCTCACCCCTGCCTCAGTGCCCTCTGACCACAGGAAAGCATCTTTCTGAGTCCAACCTCGCTCTCCTGGAGATGGTGGGAGGCAAAGGCACGGGCCCCCGCCCGAGTCAGAGGGCAAGGCTTCACCCAAGTCTCCCTCTAGTGGTGGAGACACAGGCACCTAGGAGACAACCAGGGGTTGGCTCGAGGGTCACCTTGGTCCTCAGCGGACACCTGCTGCTGATGCTTCTCTTGTCAAGTGACAGTGACAACAATGGCGGTCACAGAAGGCTAACCTATTTGGGGCCAGGCTGGAGCACTGAGAACTGGGCTGTCTGGGTGTGCTGGGCCCTGGGGTCCTGCCTGGAACCCTTACCCTCCCCTCCCTGTCTGACTTGCTCATCTTCTGGTCTCCTCCAGGCAAGCAAGCCCAGCCCAAGCTGTTCCTACCCTGTCCCCGCTGTCCCCAGCACGCCGAGGTCTCTACTGGGGAACCAGACTCCTCATCTAGCCATTCACAGGCCTGCAGAAGTCACAGCACCCCCTGCTGTGGACGAGTGGGCAAGCACCATCTTCAGCCCGCCCCAGGCAGAGAAGTCGGAGGCCAGAAGGAGCCCAGCTGGGCCAGGAGTCCTGAACCAGAAATGGCACCCAGTGGGCACAGGGCTAGGGCAGATGCCAGGCACCACTGTCCTCTTCCCCTGGGGCTGGGGAGTGCCGCGGGGCTGCCCTATTAGTCCCAGGGTCATGCCTCTGTCAGAAAGCTCTCCTAATTATGCAAGACCGTTGCGGGTGGGAAGCTTCCCAGAAACAGAGGTGGGAAGAGAACATGAATAATTAGAGACGCAATTAGGAGCTCCCAGCAACACCTGCGACATCAGTTACCCTGGTTCTGGCTTGGCCTCAGGCTCGTAGGGTGACCTTTGGCATCATCTTGCCCTCACTGGGCCTCAGATTCCCCATCTACAGGGAAGCACCGGACAGGTGATCCCCGGTAACAGCCCTGTCAGGTCGGGTGGCTGACCCTCTGCTCTCAAACCCTGGGTCACAGAATGCCGGGGCAGGAAAGATTCTGGCTTTCATCACGCAGAGGCAGGGACAGGGCCAGAAAAGGGGACACTCCCCACTGCCCTACAATGCACTGGAGTGGTTTTGCAGGAGGGGTGAGCAGGCCTCGAGACCAGCTCTGGGGCTTGAGCCATTCCACATACGCCTTGAACTCCCTTCCACGTACTTGGACCTCTTGCACTTCCCAGCATGGGGGACAGTGCTGGTCCGTCTCCAAGGAGGCCACAGAGCAGGAAGGAAGCCCCCGTCTCCCAGCTCCACTTGGTCTCTTAGGAGGCAAAAGCTATGACAGATTCTGGCCGCTGTCCCAAAGAGCCTGGCCCCTGCGGAGGCCATGCAGCACTCTAGGCGGGCATCTGGAGACCTGGCCTCGCAGGAAGAGGACACCAGCACCCGCCCCGCCCCTGCAGCAGGACCCACCTCAAAGCAGTAGTCCTGGCCCAGGATGCTGCTGTGCACTGGCTTGATGACCACCTCCTCCTCCATGCTGAGGTCCAGCGCCTCCACCGCGCTGCTGGGGCTGAGCAGGGACTCGTGCGAGCGAGACTCCTTCAGCCTCGGCATCAGATGGGACCTGGGGGGAGGGCAGCAGGGTGCGTCAGGTCAGGCCTGCCCTGTCCCCTCCCTTCCCTTCTCCTCCAGGAAGCCTGCCCAGAAGCCCCCAGTTGGAGGCAATCACTCCCCTCAACTCCCACGGTCCTTTCTGTCGTAAGGCAGAGTTGCGGGGAGGTGACATCGTGGTGCTGGAGTCACAGAGAGCAGCCAGTCCCTTTGCCCCAAGGCAGGACTCTGGGTAAAGGGCTCAGCCCCTAAGTAAGGCGGGTGGTGGAGGCGGGGGTGCGGCGGGGAGGTAAGGAGTTGAAAGTCAGCACCTGATGCAGGGTAGGGCAGGACCTGGCTTCTCAGCAGCCCGAGACCCACAGAGAAGAGTGGACCCGACCCAAGCAGCCTTCTGGGGGTCTGGTGCCTTCCCCATCCCATCCCCTCCCCTCTGCTCCAGTCCCCATCCAAGACAGAAGCAGTTGTCCTGTTCCAACATTTGTCCAGGACATCACTGCCGACAGAACCCTTTCTTGTACACCATCCCACTCCGCCCACTGGCCCCAGGCAATGCAGGAGCGCCGGGAACTCTGCTGCTCCTTTCTTACAGATGAGGACCGTGAGGCTCAAATCAGAAGGGATGCAGCCATCTCTGCACGGTGCCCAAGAGCTGAGACTCAGACAGGGTCCACGGGCTGGGGTTCGGGGGTCAGGCCAGGGCCAGTGGGTCCAGCACAGGCACAAAGAGCACAGGTAGTTCACTCCACCTGATGCCCAAATGGAGCCTGGATCAGGACTGGCTCTGACAGACCTGGCCTTGGACCTGGGCCCACTGCTCACCTACCACGTGGCCCTAGACAAGTCACTTCCACTCTCTAAGCCTCAGTTTCCTCGGCACTTCACGTGGAAAGCGCCCTAGATGGCATCTGCTCCAGTGCTTGATACAGTCCACCTCAGAAAGGCAAACGTCCCTTTCCAGAGTCAACAGAACACACAGCAGTGTCCCACTGGGCCCCCTGCCACAGCCGGGGCACAGGAAAAGCCAGAGGACCAGCCAGGCTTGCAAAGACCACCCCAGGAGAGGCTGGGCAGGCCTCGCCCCTACTCATGTCCACAGTCCAAACCCTGGCCTTAGCTCACCCAGACCTCCTTCCCCCAACACCCTCTGCCTTTCAGCTCCTGGCCTCCGGGTCCAAGGCTCAGGCCATCATCTCTCCCTGTCTCGCCAAAGACCCTCTCTCAGGTCAGTGAGGCCTGGCAGGACCACCACAGACCTCCCTGTAGGGCACATACACCCCGTAACCCATTTCCATAACCACCTGTGGTAAGAGGGCCTGAGGTCTACCATGTGTGGACTCAGGAATCCAGAGATGAGCCGAACAGACCCTGCCCAGAGGGCTTCACAGGCTGACAGAGGCCACCCTCTAGCCCCTATACTCCTCCATGGCAACAGCCCTCCCTGACATGCTGCCCTGTGCTAGGCACTGCATGGGAATCAGGGCTGGAACTGGGACCCCAGCTCTTGGGGACCTCACAGCCCAACCCAAGAGACCCAGTCGGGCTCCCCCAGCTGCTCCCCCATGCCCAGCATGAAGCTGGCACAGAGCAGGGCTCAGATCCCTGGAGCCGAGTCAATGCCCTCAGGCAGGACTCCTGAAAGCTCCCAGGGGAGTGGACCAGAGGGAAGCTGTGAGGCAGGCTAAAGTCAGGTTAGAACCCAGCCAAACCTCCCCAGGACGCACTCGAGGCCCAAGGCCACTGGCATGCACAGCTGTGGCGCCTCTGCTCCTCCAGAACCCTCTCTGGGAGACCGCACTGCACACACGCACTGCTGCTGCCACGCCAGGTGCTGACAGGCTTCTCCCCGTGACAAACCCTCCACGTCCTGCTCGAACAGCCCAGCCTCCTTCCCATCACGGCACTGACCAATGTGGTGGCTGGGTCTGCCATCCACTCTGTTGAGATTCCACCCTGGGCCTCCCTCCATACCTCAGTGCAAGGGACGCCCTGCCTCAGTTGCCGGGGAAATCACCCACCTCGGAAGGGCTGAGACCCAGAGCCCCCAGGCCCGCTGTGCGGGGCTGAAAACCCAGCCCACCGATCAAGATCAGGCTGCTTTCTGGCCCAGCCCGGAAAGCCCTGCCAGGTAAGATGCTGGGAGCTGGGGTGGGTGGAGCGGGCACCCAGGAAGTATTCTACATAGGGAGGAGCTGGCAGGCTGCGGCACCGCCTCCTGCCTGGGGCAACTGAAAGAGCCGGCTGGGGAGAGGAGAGAGAGGCACACTCAGCAGACAGGCCCTGCCCAGGAAGACCCAAGGGGGCCTTCGTTCTACAGCCCAGGAGCCCAGCGGGCCCAGGCCAGACCCCAAAGCAGCCAGACCCCGGAACCTGTGGCTGCAGAACCCTCCTCTTCCTTCCCCACCATCCTGCCCCACAAGCAGGCCCCAACTGGCCCAGGCCTCACTGGGAAGGTTCCTGACAGAATGGAGGACTATGGGAAACTCATGGCTAAGGCATTCTGGCTGCAGCTGGGCAGCACTGACCCTCCCCAGGGATTCTCTAAGTGGGAGGACCTGAAGCAGGGGCCACACCCACCCCTGCAGCCCAAGCTCACTGCGGG